CCACTCACCTCAGCCTCCCAAAGGCAGGGGATTACAGGCTGAGCCACCGAGCCCGGCTTCGTCTCTCTTCTTATTACCTTTTGCCAGCTGGTCTTGATAAGAATCAGATGCCAGATCTGGCCACGGATGAGACTGCTGAGTTTGCTGGCTGAGGGCAGGATGAAGCTGCTTGGAGGCAGTTCTTGCCCATCTCCCCTCTAATTCCAAGTCAACTATATTTAGACAATTAATTGGGTATTTAATCAAGTAACAGTCTGTGATGTCTTACCTCTTTTTATCCAAAAGTCTTATTTGAACTTACTATGTAACTTTGCACACACTATGCTTGATCCTATGCTAGACTGTAGGCACCCAGGAACCCAGCTGTATCATATTTGTGCACCACCAACCCTTCTTATCCATCCCCGCTAGCCCCACCACTCCTGCCAGCAATCATTCCCAGCACTTTGTACTATGTAGTACTTCACAATGAGTTGAGAGCAAATACCGTGGCAATGACTGAGTAACCGGCACCATCCTGGTGACTATAATTAACTCAGGGTTAATCTGGTACCCTCCTAACTAGCTATGAGCTTCCTAAAGAATGGCATCTTGAATGCCTGGCACATGGAAGATTTAAATGGCCAATGAACAAATGAATTAAAAGATACAGATATTTCAATATATTCAACATTAAACCACCTAAGTACCTTTATATCTTGGGCAATGCTCTTTCTCTCTAGAAGAATTTCAGTGAAGGATCGATGTGCTAGGAGACGCTTCATGGTGGTTTGCACAAGGAATTGAACCGCTTTGGACACATGAGCAAGACTGTTTAGGAGGAGAGAGGCGTTTTCCATTCGGTAGTAGCAAATGGCGTCTATCTCCATTATAAACATGTCTTTGGTCACAACCTAAGCAGAAAAAAGTTTGAATGATATGCTTGATTCTTGGGCTCCTTTCCCATGTGGGGTTAGAGAAACTCAATGTATTTGAAGGAAATTTTCTTAGAGTAAGATTATAGCAAGAAAAAAAAGTCAGCCCACCCTTTATTCAAAATAGACGTTTTGGAAAATTACAAAATTTTTATTAACTACATTAAAATATTCACCATGTAAAGGAATTCTGTTGTTAATTCTTTTGTAAAAATATCAAATAATTTTATTATATGAAAACATTCAGTTGATTCTATATCAGGCCTTTCTAAACTGATGCCAACAAATCTACTGAAAGAGAAACATGTTGTAGGAAACAAGCACTTTAAAGTATTGCCTGCTGGAGTGTATGCTAGGGGCAATTTGGTGACACGCATTAAAAACCCTAGAAAGGCCAAGTGTGGTGGCTACGCATGTAATTCCGGCATTTTGGGGGTGGGGGCGAGGCAGGAGGACTGCTTGAGCCCAGGAGGAGTTCAAAACCAGCATGGGCGACACAGCAAGATCTTATCTCTACAAAAAATCAAAATTTAGCCGGGCATGGTGGCACATGCTCGTAGTCCTAGTTACTTGGGAGGCTGAGGTGAGCCCAGGAGGTTGAGGCTGTGGTGAGACATGATTGTGCCACTGCATTCCAGCTTGGGTGACAGTGAGACCCTCAATGGAAATAATAAATAAATAAATAAATAAAACACGCGCGCATGCGCGCGCACACACACACACACACACACACACACACACACACACAAAACAAAAAAATCCTAGAAAGATGTATACTCTCAACATTTCCATTTTTAGATAATTGTACTACTCAAAAGGACTTATTTTGAGGATTTAGCTATAAGGATGATCATTTGCACTATTGCTTATTGGAATACAAAATTGGAAATAATTTAGCATTAATGATAGAAAATTGATTGAGTAAACTGTGATGCAGCCAGACAATGAAATGCTATGTGCTCGTTTAAAATAAAGGGGGCAGAAACATAGCCGGTATATGAAAAGATGATCACACTATATTGTTGAGTTAAAAAAGGCATGTTACAAAATAGTATATATGGCATGATATAAGTACTTGTCTGTAAATATAACTGCATTCATAGAAAACTTAGCTATGGATAGTATGATTAAGGGTAAGTTTTTTTCCAGTTTTTAAAATTGTGTTAATATACACAGAAATCTTACCATCTTAACCATTTTTTAAGTGTGCAGTTCAGTGGTATTAAATACATCCATAATGTGCAGCCATCACTACTATTCATCTCTATGACTCTTTTCATCTCGTAAAACTGACACTCTGTACTCATTAAACAATAACCCTCCATCTTCTTCTCCCCTCATCCTCTGGCAACCACTGTTTACTGTCTGTCTCTATGATTCTGATTACTCTAAGTACATCATATAAATGGAATTATGCAGTATTGATCTTTTTGTGACTTTATTTCACTTAGCATACTATCTTCAAGGTTCATCTATGTTATAGCATATGTCAGAATTTCCTTTTTAAGGATGAATAACATTTAATTGTATGCATAGTGATATTTTGCTTATCCATTTTTTTATTGGCAGTCACTTGACTTGCTTCCACGTTTTAGCTATTGTGAATAATGCTGCTAAAACATAGGTATACAAATATCTCTTCAAGATTACAGGCAAAGTCACGCATGGTGGCTCACACCTGTAATCCTAGCACTCTGAGAGGCGGAGGTGAAAGGACTGCCTGAGCCCAGGGGTTTGAGACCAGCCTGGGCAACTTGGTGAGGTCTCATCTCTACAATAAATCAAAAAATTAGCCAGGCATGGTGGCACGCACCTGTGGTTCCAGGTACTTTGAGGGCTGAGGTGGAAGGATAGCCTGAGTCCAGCAAGTTGAGGCTGTGGTGGCCGTGAGCATGCTACTGCACTCCAGTGTGGGTGACAGAGTGAGACTCTGACTCCAAAAATATATGTATTTAGGCCAAATGGCTTAGCCACGTTGACACATAAGATTAAGCATCACAAGGGCCTTTGACAATTTTATTTTATTTTTTGAGTTGGAGTCTCACTCTGTCACCCAGGCTGGAGTGCAGTGGCATACTCACAGCCACCCCAGCACTGACCCACTGGGCTCCGGTGGTCCTTCCGTCTCAGCCTTCCAAATAGCTGGAACTATAGGCGTGTGCTACCACGCCCAGCTAATTTTTGATTTATTGTAGAGACGAGGTCTCACCAAGTTGCCCAGGCTGGTCTCGAACCCGCAGGTTCATGCAATCCACTTGGCCTTGGCCTCCCAAACTGCTGGGATTATAGGCTAAGCCATGGAGTCCAGTCCTTTGATAGTTTTAAAACTAGGGCATTTGCCTTCTTGTTGTTGAGATATATGAGCTCTTTATATGTACTAGCTATTAATAGCTATTAATCCCGTAAGTGATATATGCTTTGCAAATATTTTCTCCCATTCCACAGGTTGTCTTTTTCACTTTGTTGATTGTGTCCTTTGGTGCACAAAAGTTTTAAATTCTGATGTAGTCCATATTGCTACTATTTCTTTCCTACTTTGGAGCATAAATATTAATTTTCCTGGGCCAGAGTTGGTAGGGAGGTCATGGAAAACGTAGAGAGAGAAAGTAAAAGCCATCAATTGGCTTACCTCATGAAAGGGCACTTCCAAAGTTTGGAGACGAAGGTCAACCTTGTGGTAGGTATCCAGGCAGGGCAAAAAGAAGAAAAGACCTAGAAGAGGGGGAGGGGCAGTGGCAGGTGAATAGCATGGAGGCTGTTTGGGGTTCACTTTTGGGGGTCAGGTTGCACACTACATCGCTTTCCTAAGCCTTCAGCTACATACAGACCACTGGGTAATCCTACCTACATCTCTATAGTGTCTTTGTTGTAGCTAAGGTTACTAAGTAATTTGTTGTCCAATGTAGGATGCTTTTAAGGGTAAACGAAGAGCACTGTTACCACTTATTCTAAGACATTAGTTGTAGACAGGTATTATCCCCAACAAACTTGGCTGTATGGTCACTTTAGTCATAGTACTAGCCCTCTCAGATCTCGGTGACAAGTCTGTCCTTTCACAAGAGTTGAGCTCCCTGAGTAGAGTGTCATATGCCCTATTGTTAGCCTTAATGTCTGTCTTTTAGGTGCTCTGGAAAATTGTTTTTGAATCTATGGGTATAGCCAGGTGTCAAACTTCAGAGACAGCAACCTCCATGTTGTATTTCTTAAAATGTGAGCCCCAGAGGTAACCAGAATAGCAATTATCATGATACCAGCCTTCTGGTTGGGTAGTCTTCACCTACACAATATAATATACAGAGTCAATGTGCAATAAACATTTGTGGATTGATTTGTTGAGATTTTTTTCTGAGAGCTCATGGATGCTGTGGGCTCCTGCAAGAGCCAATGCCTTTTGGAACAAGCAGCACCTCAAAGAGCCCAGGATCTAGCTGGGAAGTAGCCTAGCTACTAGTCCTTCTTGGTACCAATTGAGGAAGTTTGAAAACCAGAGCTAGAGCAAGATGGTCTGTGTCCTGAACTACAAAATCTGGTTCTATTTTTGTGTGGATCCATCTATTGGTTCTGAATCTTCAAACTCTAATTTGTGTCTCCTAGTCTGTTCTTTATTCTCTACCTGTTTCTGCAGACCTAGCTTGGAACTTGGATTCTGTCCAGTATATGCACAATGCGACTTTGCTTCTCATGCCTTCCTGGATGGCTTAGATCTGCAAACCCCAAATACTAGACTCTTCAGAGTAGTCATACTTCTATCTGGTAGTAGTCATACTTCTAATTAGCTTATACCTCTGGACATCAACTCCGTATCCTAGAGATCAGAGACCATGTCTTATTCATCCATCTTTGTATCCCTGGTAGCTAGCACAGTGTCTAAAACACAGGAAATGCTCAACCTGTGTTTCTTAAATTCCACCAACTAGAGACCAATTTATTACTTGGATACTAAATTTTGCTGATCTCCCATGATTTTATCTGAGCTCCTAGATTCTGAACTAGCTCAACTTTTCTCTGAGAAGTCACAGGACTCTGCCCACACATATTAGACCCAAATCAATCTCCAGCCATGGGTCTTAGGCGGACTTGCCATTCCAGCCTGCTTGGCATGTGGGCTCTTTGCACTCATTCTCTTTCTTGGCCATCTGTGACCTGGTAGTAATGCTCTCTGAAGAATTTCTTTCTTTTTTGAGTTGGAGTCTCACTCTGTCGCCCAGACTGGAGTGCAGTGGCCACTTCCGGCCACTGCAGCCCCGACCTGCTGGGCTCCAGCGATCCTTCCGCCTCAGCCTTCCAAGTAGCCGGAATTACAGGCATGCGCTACCACGCCTGGCTAATTTTTTGATTTATTGTAGAGATGAGGTCTCGCTGCCCAGGTGGGTCCCGAACCCGCGGGCTCAGGCAATCCATTTACCTCAGCCTCCCAAAGGCGCGGGATCACAGGCTGAGCCACCAAGCCTGGCTGAAGAATTTCTTAATAACATGCATTATAAGGAATAGATTGGATAATGCAGATATCATGAATCAAGTTACATATTACATGAAGTCTATATTACAAATGTACATGGACTGACAAAATTGACAAGTCAGAAAGTGGGGTGTTTAAAAAAAAAAGAGGTACTCGGGGGAAGATGGTGGCCAAGCCAGTCAGGCTATGCGAGTCCCCGTGTGAGTGAGTGTATGGAAAATTTTGTGTACTGGTGAGCAAGTGGGCATGTGAGTGGTTGACTGAGTGAGGGCTAGGGAGCTAGTGGCCAGGGCTCTCCTGGTGCAACTCTGGTGCCACAGCTGCTGGGCTTGGACCCTAGCGATTCCTGGGATGCAGAAACCGAGTGCCATTTTCTCTTTCTTTCTTCTTCTTCTTCTTTTTTTTAAATCAAGAAACCCTCCCTGGCAAGAAAACACTGGGAGAGACTGTCTAAGTGGGGCTCGTGAGTGGGTGGCCAGGCCCCTCGTGCAATACCAGGTGCTGCAGCTTCTCTACGTCATTCCTGGCTCTTCTCGGGTCCCAGAAGTGGAGCACCATTGTTTTTTCCAAATGGACAGAAGTTTTCCTTTGGAAAAGCACAGGGAGACACTTCTGCCCTGGACGCTCCCTCATCTTTAAAGCAGGAGAGAGATTGCTCCGGGCTTTGCCTCATCACTTCAGCACCTTGCAGGGTGCTGGAAGGGGCTACGGACCAACTCCAGAGGCAAGTTCCCATGGAAGAGGACAAGAGAGGCACCCCACCATGATATTAAAGGTGGGGCAGGAAAGTGCTCCAACTTGCTCATCAGGGACCAACAGATCTGATCTCTGTGACTGGCGGATCAACTACTTAGGGCTTGATCCAAATGGACTATCCTGAGAGCACAAACTTTATAGGGACCTGATGAGTGCTGAGTTCCAGGGGCCATACCCCCTACCCTGATCCAGCTGTGGGATAAAGGGTATGGCCAGAAAAGGAGGAGGAAGAACTCCAAAGAGATCAGTGAACAAATCCAGAGCCCAGATCAGGGAAGAATAGAGGTCTGAGCAAACATCAGAAGGGAAAGCCCACTGACACCGAATAACAGAACTAAAGAGAAAAACAAGAGATCCGTCATAAATGAGAAAAGTCAAAGGAAGACCTCAGGCAATTTCAAGTGTACCAGAGACAAAACTCCTGAAAAATCAGATCTTGGTGCCCAAACAAGTCACCAAAGACTGTGCCCAGAATACAACAGGGATTAGGGAATGGTTGGAAAGAATGAATAGGACTCAAGAAAGACAAGATACAACACTGAAAGAACTTGTAATAGAGATTTTGGCAATAAAAAATTTCATTCAGGAAATAAAAAACAAGATGACAAGCATGGAAAGCAGAATTAATCTAAATGAAGAAAGAATCTCAGAACTTGAAGGTCAGAACATGGAATTAACCTGATCTGTAAAAAACACAGAAAGAAGATTCAGAAAGAAAGAACAAAGCCTACAAGAGATGTGCGATTACATCAAGAGGCCAAACTTACACCTGATTGGTATCCCAGAAAAAGAAAGGGAAATGGAGAACAACTTAGAGCAAGTATTCCAGGAAGTAATCCAAGAAAACTTTCCCTGTCTCACCAGAGATGTGACCAGCCAAGTACAAGAGATCCAGAGAATTCCCACAAGACATCAAATGAAAAGACCAACGCCTAGACACATAGTAATTGGCCTATACAAAGTAGGCACAAAACAAAAAATCCTAAAGGCAGCAAGAGAGAAAGGTCAGACTACCTACCAGGGAAAAACTAATCAAAATAGCAGCAGACCTATCAGCAGAAATACTACAAGTAAGAAGGGACTGGAGCCCTATATTCAAAGTCCTCAAAGATAAAAAAATTTAAACCAAGAATTTCTTATCCAGCCAAGCTTAGCTTCATCAGTAATGAAGAATTAAAATCCTTCCCAGACATCCAATCCCTAAGAGATTATGCAGCTTCCAGACCAGCTCTACAGGAGAAACTTAAAATGCTATTAAGTACAGAAGAAAGAAGAAGATTGACCACACACTTCCCAAGAGAATAGCAGAGCACAGAATCAGCAGAGAATACAGCACAACAAGAAATTTGAAAATACACACATACATTAACTCCAAAGCCAAAAGAAAAGAAGCAAACAAAGGAAAAACTTTATAAGAACCTCATGACAGGGATAAACAATCATATTTCAATAATCACCTGAATGTGAATGGACTAAATGCACCACTGAAAAGACACAGAATGGCGGACTGGATAAGAAACCATGACCCAATTATTTGCTGCATCCAGGAGATTCATCTCACTCCAAGAGATGCACACAGACTCAAAGTTAAAGGTTGGAAAATGAGTTTCCAGGCAAATGGATCACAAAAGAAGGCAGGAGTTGCAATCTTAATATCAGACAAAACAAACTTTAAGCTATCTAAAATTTAAAAAGATGCAAAATGACACTACATAATGATAAAAGGTTCAATTCATCAACAAGAAATATCCATCCAAAACATATATTCACCCAATACAGAAACACTAGCATTTATAAAACAACTACTAAGTAAACTAAAAAAAGATATAGACTCTAACACTAGTATAGCAGGGGACTTGAATACCCCACTGACAGTCCTAGATAGATCATTGAGGCAAAAAATCAACAAGGAGATCCAGAACCCAAACTTGACACTCGACCAAATGGACTTAATAGATACCTACAGATTATTCCACCCAACAACCACAGAATATACATTCTACTCATTACCACATGGAACATACTCTAAGATGATCACATCTGTGGTCATAAATCAAGCATAAACAAATTGCATAAGTTTGAAATCTTGCCATGTACATTCTCAGACCACAGTGGAATAAAAATAAATATCAACACCAACAACATTTCCCGAAAGCCCACAAAGATATGGACACTAAATAGCATGATGCTGAACAACTACTGGGTCAACACTGCAATCAAAGCAGAAATTGAAAGATTCCTGGAAACAAATGAAAATGAAGAAAAAACTTACCAAAACCTCAGGGATGCCCTGAAATCAGTTCTCAGAGGGGAATTTATATCTCTACAAGCATACATCAAGAAAATAGAAAGATCAGAAGTTGAGAGCCTAACAAATCACCTAAGGGAGCTGGAAAGAGAAGGCCACCAAAACCCCAACTTTAGCAGAAGAATCCAAATCACAAAAATAAGAGTCCAAATATGGGATATAGTAGACAAAAATATCAGAGAAAACATCAACAAAACAAAAAACTGGTTCTTTGAAAGAATTAACAAGATTGATGGGCCCCTAGCCAGAATGACCAAGAAAAAGAGAGAAAAAGCCCAAATAAACACAATCAAAAATAGAAAAGGTCAAATCACAACTGACCCTGAAGAAATACAAAAGATTATCAGAGATTACTAGGTACACTTATGTGGAAACAAACTTGATAACCTAAATGAAATGGAGAACTTTCTGACATCACACAACCTCCCCAGGTTGAAACAAGAAAATATTGAGACACTAAATAGAGCAATAACAACCCAGGAAATTGACTCTGTCACAAAAACTACCTACCAAAAAAAGCTCTGAACCGGATGGCTTTCCAGCAGAATTCTGGAACAAAACGTACAAGGAGGAGCTGATACCAATCCTACTGAAAGTATTCCAGGCAATTGAGAAAGATGGAATTCTCCCCAAATCATTTTACGACGCTAACATCACACTGATACCCAAACCGGGTAAAAATCCAACAAAAAAAAGAGAACTAGAGGCCAATATCCCTTATGAACATAGATGCAAAAATCCTCAACAAGATTCTAGCAAATCGGATCCAAAAGCACATCTCAAAAATCATCCACCATGACCAAGTAGGCTTCATGCCCAGGATGCGGGGCTGGTTCAACATTCGCAAGACCATAAATGCAATTAAATACATCAACAGATGTAAAAACAAGAACCACATGATTATCTCATTAAATGCAGAAAAAGCTTTTGATAAAATCCAGCATCCCTTCTTGATAAAAACACGCAAACACTTAGGTATAGAAGGAACATACCTCAAAATAGTAAGTGCCATCTACGATAAACCCACAGCTGACATATTGCTAAATGAAAAGAAGCTGGAAACATTTCCCCTGAAAACTGGAACAAGACAAGGCTGCCCACTCTCACCCCCACTTGTTCAATATTGTGTTGGAAGTCCTAGCTCAGGCAATTAGACAAGAGAAGAAAATCAGGGGTATCCAAATAGGAAAAGGGGAAGTCAAGTTATCCCTCTTTGCTGATGATATGATCCTATACCTTGAAAATCTAAGAGAATCTGTCAAAACCCTGCTTGCACTGATAAAGGACTTTGGCAAAGTCTCAGGGTACAAAATAAACTTGCAAAAGACAGTTGCATTTCTCTACACCAACCTCAAGCAGGCAGAGACCCAAATAAAAAGCACAGTCCCATTCACAATAGCCACCAAAAAAATGAAATACCTCAGCATCTTCCTAATCAGAGACGTGAAAGACCTTTACAATGAGAACTACAAAACGCTGCTCAAAAAAATCCAAGAAGACACAAACAAATGGAAAAATATTCCATGTTCATGGATAAAAAGAATCAACATTGTTAAAATGTCCATCTTATCAAAGGCAATCTACAGATTCAATGCAATACCCATTAAGTTTCACCAGCATCATTCTTCTCAGACCTGGAAATGACAATACAGAAATTCACATGGAAACATAAATGACCATGAATAGCCAAAACAATTCTTAGCAAAAAAAAAAAAAAAAAGCAGGAGGTATCACACTTCCAGACTTCAAACTTTACTATAAGGCTACAGTAATCAAAACAGCCTGATATTGGTACAAGAACAGGCACATAGACCAATGGAACAGGATAGAGATTCCGGAAGCAAAGTCTCAATGCCTCAATCAACTCATCTTTGACAAAGCCTCCAACAACAACCACTGGGGAGAGGAGAACCCATTCAGTAAATGGTGCTGGGAAAACTGGCTAATCACATGCAGAAGATTGAAACAGGACCCCTACCTATCACCGTACACAAAAATTAACTCTAAATGGATCAAAGACCTAAACGTAAAACCTCAAACTATAAGAATCTTAGAAAATGCAGGAGACACCCTTATGGAAATTGAAACTGGCAACCAATTCCTATTCAGAATTCTAAAGGCCAATACCTTAAGAAATAACATAGACAAGTGGGACCTCATCAAACTAACAAGCTTCTGCAAAGCAAAATAAATCATCAAGAGAGCAGGGAGACAGCCCACAGAATGGGAAAAAATATTTGCCAACTGTATATCTGACAAAGGCCTAATATCTAGGATCTACAAGGAACTCAAACGCACCAAAAGGAAAAAAAACAAACAGCCCCTTTAAAAAGTGGGCAAAAGACATGAATAGACACTTCTCAGAAGAAGATATATGGGCAGCCAACAGACACAGGAAAAAAGTGCTCAGTCCCACTCATCATCAGAGAAAATCAAATCAAAACCACACTGAGATACCACCTAACCCCAGTAAGAATGGCCATCATTAATAAAACAAACAACAACAGATGCTGGCAAGGATGTGGATAAAAAGGAACACTTCTACACTGCTGGTGGGAATGCAAACTAGTGTAACCTCTTTGGAAGACTGTGTGGTGATTTCTGAAAGAACTAGAAATTAATCTTCCATATGACCCAGCAATTCCCCTATTGGGAATATACCCAGAGGAACTCAAATCATTCTACAAAAAAGACATCTGCACATGTATGTTTGTTGCAGTTCTATTAACAATAGCAAAAACATGGAACCAACCATGTTACCCATCAAAGCTGGACTGGATAAAGAAATTGTGGTACGTATATACAATGGAATATTATGCAGTCATAAATAAGGACAAACATATGGACTTCGCAGCAACTCGGATGGATTTGGAGGCAATCATATCAGTGATCTATCACAGAAACAAAGAACACTCATAAGCAGACCTTGAACAATTATAATACTATAAGAAAGTATTTGGCAGTAACGGGAAACTGTCAGGGGAGGGGGGTGAGATTGGCAGTTGAGGGAAACTGCTAGGGGAGGGAAGGGCATACCTCATCAATAAGGGTATCTGCATAATCAGTGTTTGTATACCTAACCCTGAATTGTACCCCACATCTTTGTAATAAAAAAATAATAATAATAAAGGATCTTTCTTACCAGGGCCTTTGGCTCTTCCAGGAAGCAGATGTCCCAGTCGGAATATAATTACTCTCTCATACTCTTGTACAACCTAAAGAGAAAGTTAATACTTTCAAATCTCTCCAAGAAAGAAAAATAAAGTCTTCAAAAGATCTTGGCACAAGAGTAATCCTAGATGTCAGAAATATTTTGTTTTGAAAACCAAGAAAAAATTTCTATTATCATTCCAAAATCTATACTCAATAAGTGTAGAATTTCAAAAATCAGTGAAAAAGAATATTCGCTATGTTAATTGTTGAGGCCATGGACCGAATTTTTATTAAAGACTAATGATTTTCTAAAAATTTATACATCCACTATGTCCAAGTTTCCCTAAATAAATCTTATCAAGACATGTCTAATCTTGTGTTTTAATTTGGCTTCTGTATTACTAGCTTTTATACGTATCACTCATTAGCTATTTAACAGAAAGAGGGAGTTTATTTTAATGCTACTTAGGATATTTTGTTTCAAATTTTTTTCTGAGGCTGCTTCAAAGTGATTCACTTGAATTTTAATTTGTCAATTCTCATTAGTGATAGATCTAGAAACTGGGTGTGCCCTGGAAATGTGTAAAGATATTCTTAAATGAAAAAAAAAAAAAAGATTATCTGTATAGAAAGGTCTGTCAATTAAAAGAGAAATAGGAAAGTTACTGCACACTAATTTAAAAATAAACTTCACTTTCTGGCCCAGTATCAGAATCTGAGTTCTATTGCTTGTTTATCATTAACTTAGTTGGTCTGTTTACTTATATTCATATCCCACAAGACTGTGAACTCCTTGATGATATGGAATTACTCTTTTTTCTTAGCACCTAAAAAATGCCTAATACATAACATGTTCAATAAATATTTATTAAATGAAAGAATGATTTGTGACTGTAGACAAGCCCATTTTCTGTCTTCATCCTCTCTCCTCTTTAAAAGCTCCACTGAATAATAATTAGCCAAATACAAAGGTATAATGAAGAGACAAAAAGAAGCACATTTTGAAGTGTGCTTCTTAAAGTAACAAGTACTACCCCACTGATGTCCCTTGAGGTCAAAAACCATGTCCTGTTTTTATGAGGTTTACAATTCCTATGCCAGAACATCACTTTGCTTGTTGGAACAATGAGAATGGATGGCTGAATTTGGTTCCTAGAGTATGCCCTAGCAATTCCCAACTGCTGAGTCCCTAGAGTTACGTGTGTGTGTGTATTTCCTGCTCTTTTGGGGGAAGAAATTAATTCTTCCCAGAGACAAAGGGGAGCCTTATTCCTTCACGACCTTGCTCAAATGTAACTGCCTGATTCTGCTTTTGTATCTTCCACCTAATTGGCTTCTTTGGGGTTACTATCTTAAGTGGCCAGACCTAAAAGCCTCTTCCACAGACCATGGCTGGGTCAGTGTTGGATCTTGTGGCAGTCATGCAGGTGGTCAGATCACCCTTCAAGAAGAGCCTGCTGCCAACTACACACTGTGGATAGGAGACACACTTTATACTCAAAGATATGAATAGACTGAAAGTATTTGATGGAAAAAGATATAATGCACAAATAGTAACTAGAGGAGAGCAGGAGTGGCTATACTAATATCAGACAAAATGTACTTTAAAACAAACAAGCCAACATGTTATTGAGACAGGAGATAGCTAGAGAAAGGCTTGGCAGGCAGGCAGGCAGGCAGACAGGGCGACTCCTCTGGTAACTATGTAGCAAACTTCCAGCAGGCCTCTCAGGCTCAGCGTTGGTAAACAAGCTCCCTGTGAGCTTCTCAAGCTAGAGCTTAAGTACTTACTGCTGGGATCGAAAAGGAACCAATCAACTTGCTGCCACGTACTGACCAATCAGCTCACCATTAGGCCCATACCACCTGCCAATCGGTCCTTAGTACTGACCAATCAGAACAGCTAGTGCTAGCCGCTCGGCTCAGTCTTAGGGCTATGTAAATAGGTTTCAACCCCAAACTGGCAACCCCTTGGGGTCACCCCCCACTGTAGGAGTTTTTCCAATCTTTTAATAAATCCTGCTTTCTCACTTTTCCGCTGTCTGTTTCCCTCATTCTTCCTGTGCATGAGATAAGAACCTCGACCAAAAGAGCTGCAGAAGATCATTGGAGCCCAAGAGCCAGTGCACCCAAGAGGCTGGCTTGCCAGCTGATGGAGCCAGCTGAACCAGTAGAGTTGCTGGAAGAAGGCAAGATTCGAAGGTGAGACCCTCTGGGGGCTAGGTTTGCCAGCCCAGCAAACCAGCAACACTCTTAGGGCTTGCCTTGCCAGCCCATTAGAGCCAACACTTCCAGGGATAGGCTTACCAGCCCCTCCAGACGACCCTCTCTGGGGCTTGGCTGGTCGACTCATTGAGCTAACACTCTCAAAGTCCAGGCTGACCTGAAAAATCCGTATCATTATTAGCAATAGAAGAAGAGCTCAGAAATGTATAAAGCAGAAAACAAAAGAACTGAACATAGCGCGAGACAATTCAGTAATAATAGTCAAAGACTTCAATACCCCACTTTTAACAATAGAACAACCAGACAGAAGATCAACAAAGCAATAGAAGACTTGAACAACATTATCAACAAATAGACCTAGCAGGCATCTGTGCATAATTTCCACCGGAGAAGAGGAGAATATACATTCTTCTCAAGAATACATGGAACGTCTCCGGGATAGATCATATGCTAGGCCATAAAACAAGTTTAAACCCATTTAAGTAGACTAAAATCATATCAAGTATATTCTTTGATTACAAAGAAATTAAGTTAGAAATCAGTAATAAGGACATTTGGGGAATTTACAAATGTGGAAATCACACAACACACTCGAACTCATGGATTAAAGAAGAAATCATAAGGGAGAAGTGAAAATACTTTGAGATGAACGAACACAAAGCCACAAGATACCAAAATGTACGGAAGGCAACTGAAGCCATGCTCAGAGCAAAATGGACAGCTGTAGATTCCTAAATTAAAAAGAGGGAACACCTTAAATATACACTAATCTTTTACCTTAAAACAATGGAAATAAAGAGTAAACGAAATCTAAAGCAAGCGGAAGAAGATAATAAAGATTAGAGCAGAAATAAATGCAACGGAGAATAGAAAAATGGAGAAAATTAACAGACCCAAAAGTTGATTTTGTTCAACAAAACTGACAAATATTTAGCTAGATTGATGAAGTAAATAGAAGGTTCAAATAACCAAAATCAGGAATGAAAGATGGGATCATTACTGCTATTCCTACAAAGATAAAACAGATTATAAAAGAAAATACCACGAACAATGATATGCCAAGAAATTAGATATCTTGGATAAAATAAACAAATTCCTAGAGCCCCAAGCTAGCAAAACTGACTCAAGAAGAAAAAGAAAAACGGAAAAGACCGTTAAATAAAAGATTGAATTGTAGTGGCTTTAAAACTGTCCATAATGTGGATAAAAGGAAACCCTTGTACACTGTTGGTGGAAATGTAAATTGGTACAGCCATTAATGGAAAACATAACTACCACATGATCTAGAAATCCTATTTCTGAATATACATCAGATGATATCAGGTGTGTTCAGGGTGATAGACTACTTCTATAGTCAGGGCTGTAAACTACTTCTGAATATATATCAAGGAAATGAAATCAGAACATTTTTTTTTTTTTTGAGTTGAAGTCTCACTCTGTCGCCCAGTCTGGAGTGCCGTGGCAAACTCACAGCCACTCCAGCGTCGACCTGCTGGGCTCCGGCAATCCTTCCGCCTCAGCCTGCCTCAGCCTTCTAAATAGCCAGAACTACAGGTGTGCACTACCATGCCCAGCTAATTTTTTATTTATTGTAGAGACGAGGTCTCGCCAAGTTGCTTGGGCTTGTCTCAAACCCGCAGGCTCAGGCAATTCACTCGCCTCGGCCTCCCAAAGTGCTGCGATTACAGGCTGAGCCACCAAGCCTGGCCCAAAATCAGAATTTTTAAGAAATATGCAGCCTCATATTCATTATTTGCATTAGCCAAGATACAGGATAACCTAAATGTCCATCAACAAGATTCAAATGCACAAAGAAAATTAGCCAGGTGCACTTTGTTGCCCAGGAGTTCAAGTCTAGCCTCGGCAACAATGTAAATCCTGTATCTACAAAAATTAGTAAAAGTATTCAGGCATTGTGGTGCACACTTGTAGTCCCAGCTACATAGGAGGCTGAAGCAAGAGGATTGCTTGAGCTCAGAAGTTCAAGGCTGCAGTGAGCCATAATCATGATACTGCACTCCAGCCTGGGTGACAGAGTGAAACCCTGTCTAAAAAAAAAAGAAAACAGAAGAAAATGTGAGACACACACACACACACACACACACACACACACACACACACACACTATGGAATATTATACAGCCTTAAAGAGGAAGAAATCATGCCTTGCAACAACATGGATGAACCTGGAGGATATTATGCTAAGTTAAATAAGCCAGACACAGAAAGACAAATACTACATGATCTCACATGTGAAATCTGAAAAAGTATTCACAAGAGCAGAGAACAGAATGGTGGTTACCAGGACTGAGGGTGGGGGAAATGAGATGTTGATCAAAGGGTCAAGGTTATGTAGGATGAAAAAAGAGAGAGCTAATGTACAGCATAGTGTCTATAGTTAATAATATTTTACTATATGCTTGAAATTTGCTAAGAGAGATGATCCAAAGTGTTCTTATCACACACAAAAGTCATAAGTATGTGAAGTGATATGTTAATTAGCTTGATTATGGTAATCATTTCACTATATACATCAAAACATCACACTGTACACCTTAAATATATACCATTTTAATTTGTCAAGTATGCTTCAATAAAGCTGAAAAAATAAAAATAATTTTAAAAAAATTAAAACTTCCCACAATGAAAAGTCCAGAACCAGATGGCTTTACTGATGAATTATGCCAAACACTTAACAAGGAATACTAATTTTTCACAAACTCTCCTAAAAAAAAATAGAGCATGAGGGAAATCTTCCCAACACATTCCACTATTACCCTGATACCAAAACAAGATAGAGACATCACAAGAAAATTACAGACCAAAATCTCTTATAAATACAAATGCAAAAATCCTCAACAACCTATTAGCAATCTGAACTCGGTAATATGCAATAAGATTATACACCATGCCAAGTGAGATTTTAACATTCTAAAATAAAAATGAATATAATAGACCATATCAATACAATAAAGGCCAAATACTCTGTGATCATCTCAACAGATATAGAAAATGCATTCGACAAAATCCAACACCCTTTTATTGAGGAGAATGAGGAGGCAGAAGGTAAAGAAGCCACCGTTCGCCATGAGGAGTGCAACCAACGGCCCTGGCAGTGTCTGTAGTGTTTCAGCCAAGGACACGCTCTTCCCTGGCAGCTCCAGCCAATGACTAAGACGGCAGGAGTACTAGGGCCTCGCCATTTCTGCCCATTGTGGGAGTCCTATGAAACAAATTTTGCTGTAGAGTTCTCTTTTGAGCTGGCCAAGCCTTTCTCGGAGCTGCACCACCGTCTGAGGCTCTTTCTGCCCTGTCTCCTCTCCCCACCCTTCCTTCACAAATGTCAATCTTGCACCATTGTCTGAAGGCTTTTCCTGCCTACTCTTGTTCTCACACCCCCTTAATCTTTTGCAGGGCAAAAGGTCCTCCTTTTGAATGCCTCCTGAGTAAATCCCTTGCACTTCCAATTCCATCTCAGCATGTGCTTCCTGAACGGACATAGGTCCTCATCTACTTCAGGGACAGGCATGTTACCACCTGTGGGCCAAAGATAATCATCATTCATGGTCTGTAGAAGTTGCCTGAGAAGCTTCATGGAAGTGTGAGAAGTAGATGTCACAATCCATTCTGAGCTGGTCTTTGTGTCACCGAGTGCAGTGGGTTTCTATGTTTAATGAGAGAGACAGCATGTTAATAAATATGTGTGTGGTAAGTGTTAGAACAAGGTGAAAGCAGAGTGACACAGGAGCACAGGGGAGGGAATGACAGTCTGGGGGAGTCGAGGAAGGTCTCATAGTTACATCTGAGCAAAGTCTTGAATGAGTGAGAGCTCCTGGAAGGTGCGTGGGGGTAAGGGCATTCCATGCGGAGCAACAGAGGTGACAACAATACAAAACACAGAGGTGAGAGTGAGCATGGTGTGGTCGGTAAGAGGCACCAGAAAATCACCTACTGGGTCCTCAGGGAATCTCACCTTTATGCAGAACCAGATGGAAAAAGGGAAGGTCACAATGATGAAGAGCAGGGAAACGAGGACAAGAAGCCACTCACAGGCCCCTAAACCAGAGGACTTGATACCTAAAAAAAAAACCAGAGGACTTGATACCTAAAAAAAACCCAAAAGTCTAATTATATTGATACTTCACCATATTCCGTGACTAGCATTTGTGGGCCCAGTCCTTGGTATTCGGTTGAAGCAGCTTGGAGACTGGCTGGAAATATGAGAATGAGCCAGATGTCAGAGTAGTCAGAGATCCCAGGGCCTGGGGAAAAGGAGGCTCCTGGAGAGGGAGCGAGGTACACTGGAACAGGTCACAGGATCTGGGAAGAATCTAGGCTCCAGGTCTGGCTCCACTATTTCATGTTCAAATGACTTAAGGCCCATGACCTTTTCAAACTTCACAGTCTCATTATCTGTTCCATGGGGATGCTATCTCATGACTATCATAATAACTAACTCATGGGTTATATCTCCTACCTCTGGCATAAAGATAAAATGACATATACACATTTATAAAAACACTGAACTGTGTTTTATATATGTCAGGTTTGATGTCTGAACCACAAGTACCCAGAGACTTACCATTCATGAAATAACCATCCACTCCCCGCCCTAATGTCTGAGATGTGGATTCAGACAGTCTTTGAAAATCACCTGAATGGAGTAACACTCACCTGCTAAAGTCTGTAAAAAAGTGAGAAGGACCTGGGAGCAGAACATCCAGAGTGCTTGGGTGATCAATGAAATAGTATCAAGGAGAGTCAGCCTCAAGAACACAAGCTTTTGGGGGATTTGTGCTACTTACAATGTGTCCTGAGGGCTTAGAATAGCATCTGACAAAATATAGGTGTTCAATAAATATTGAATGTAGGAAGAAAGGAGAAGTGGATAGTGAACATGATTTAAACATAATAGTTGTCGACATTTCAAGAAGTTTAATCTCCAGGTACTAGAAAACTGGCCCAGTAATACTCTTTGTTATTTATACATCTCATAGAGGACTAGAAGGTGACTGAAGATTAAGAAATGGTAAAATACCTATTTTTAAGGAACGGTAAGGAAGGGTCTAGCCTAAAGATTTGCTTTTCATGCCTGGAAAGGTCATCACCAAATTGACATGCAGATCACTTGCAGAGGGCAGATATGCAAGCAGCACCAGCACTGAACTGAGGTCAGCATTCAGTGCCATAGTGTGGCAGTCCCAAAGGCTGTCCCACAAATCACTAGCCCCACAAGGTGCTCCACAAAGGAAGAGTTTCCTGGGCACATGAGTGTAAAGAACACTGGGCACCATACCCATTCTTCCTAGCACTTGTCAGCATATTGAAGCTCAGATAATCTCCACGGTCAGGAAGTATTCTTAGCTTTGTTGTGTGTTTTTGGAACATTTGACCAGGTAATATTTTCTCCAGGGAACACTCATTTGTGTTGTATGGAACTTATTTCTTACAGAACCCATTTTGGGAAATGTTGCTCTACCAGCATCATTAATTTTTATAATATTTTTCAAGGGCAATGACTAACAGTACCATTGCCATTTTTCATTAGTTCCTAAATGTATTTTGGGTGGCCAGTGGAAGTCACAGCAAATAAAAATAATAAACACATATAAGACAAAATTACATTTTAAAAATGAAGAAAGATCTTAAAAATTCCTTCATACAGTATTAGAGATGTGACTAGAAAACTGATTTCTATACACAAACCTAGCTTAAAGCTTTACCCACAAAATATTCTACTCTTGGAATAAATTGCTTGAACATCCTGTTTGGTTGGTTTAAGTGAATAGTGAAACATTAAATGTTAAAGCAGGAGGAGCCTTTCGACGGTCTGAGAACCCTCAGTATTTCTGGTGAATGAAGCTCCTTTTCATTTCTTTGGTCTTCAGCAGCCTGCTGTTGGGGGTGTGATGCCTAGTGAGACAGAGGGGATTTTGTTCTATCTTCCCTGGGAGCCATGGAAACATCCCAGGCAAGGCTCAGCAAAGGTCTCCTAATCCCTGGTGGGACTTCTCATCCATTGCTTGGAGCCTCCTGCTCTAGTTACTTTGTAGCTGGAGGGTGTGAAACCCACTAAGGTGACAAAGGCCACAGCTAGTTGGTATTAGTGCCCAGACCACGGCCAGAAATCAGGGGCAGCACCATGCAAGGTTGGGCATTTCATCAGACTGCCTTACTCTGGAACCCTGGCTTCTTCACATCCCAGCTATAGGATTTGTGCAAGTTACTTGATTGCTCAGAGCATTCATATGGGATTAAACAACTCAGCAAAACACATGTGCACCTCGAATGTCGCAGGGATGCCATAAACGGCGGCTCCCTCCTCTATCCCCCCCATCAATATGACTTGCTCCATAAGTGACATGCCCTGTAACCTCAGCATTGGACCCAACAGCCCTTTAATGCCAGAGGCTTCTGACTAGCTGGGCAAAATAGTATTAACAAGGTCTATTTAAACTACATCCCAACCGCAGAGCCTTCCTCAAATGGGAGTTTTCAAGTGATTCAGCATGTACTGCATTGCTGCTAGCCAGGAAATGTTAAAACTTCACAGCCAGCAGAATGCAGTATAACGTGCTATTCCTTATTTGCTTTCCTTTGTCATCCTACCACTTCAGTTGTCGTGTTCCATTCATGATAAAGAGGACTGGAGGTAGATTATGTATTCCCAAGAGCCGCTTCACCTGCAGAAGCAAAAGAGGCACCTTTCTTTCATTCCCTCCTTTGATCTAACTTTTCTCTCTTAGTTTGCAAGGATTCTGCTAAAATTCAGCATATTGTTTTGCTCCAGGCTCTGTGCAAAGTGCCTTTGGGCATCTTTTCTCATTTTATCTCCACAACTACCCTCTGAGGAGGGTACTGTTGCTATGTCATGGTAGTCAATGTCCTTCCTGTGTTCACAAGGCCACTCTCTAGAGTGGCTGGGCTGAGATTTGGGCTCAGGTCTGGGACTTCTTCACTTGGCTCTGCTAATCTCGCTTTTTAGAAAGGGTGATCATTCCAAGAGGAGTCTAAAAGGCTCTTGGGTACGACGGAGGATGAGGTGAGGGGAGAAGACTAAGCTACCTAACTGCCCAGCGCCACCAGCTCATGCATGTCTTAAGCCAGGTTCCCACATGCCCTTCCGGGGCCGCAAAAATCAGCTTCAGGGTCCCCTGCCCTGTGGGTTGAGCCGCAGCCTGGACCACGCTCCCTCCCACCTCCCACCCCCCACCCAAGGTTGGCCGCGAGACCAGCGGTATTTCGTGCTGTTACTAGTATTTCTTCTGATGCGCTTTGTTCTCCACCACGGTGGGTGCTGGCTCCCTAACTCTCGCCTTTCATTTTCTGGAAACCTGCGCGTCCAGCAGTCTGCTGTGGCTTGGGTGGCCCTTGGCGGGGTGACTCCGCCCACCCTACCTGACCCCCTGGGGTCCCATCCGGAAAGGCAGCCACCCTCCTGGCGCCTATCTGCCCGCCGCGGTACCTTCCTCGGGCGGCTCGCTCTGCAGCAGCACCGCCACCTCGGTGCCCTCCTCGCCGGAGCCCCGCACCTCATCCACG